CTCCCTGTCCGCCTTGGTCAGGCCCAGCATCAGGGATCGGGGCCCTGTGTTTGTTTGGGCTGCCTGCGGGGTGCGGGCCTGGATGGAAGCGGCATCCTCCGCTTCCGCGGTCCCTCCCCCATCAAGCCAGCTTTGGGGAGGTGGGCAATCCCAGTCCCCAGGCGGCGTGGGAATCCTTCCCAATAGCAACGCGGCTCCCCAAGGCCCCCCAGGCCAGGTTCCAAGGGACTCCAGCACTCTGGGCGCGGTCTTGCCACTCTCAGGCCCCGAGGCTCGGTCCTACCCCCCCCATCCAGGCCTAACTAGGCCTGGTCCTACCCCCCCCTCTCCCCATCTCGCCGGTACCTAGGCCCAACATCTCCCCGTCCAGATTTTCCCTAGACTACAGCAAAATACCTACAGTGACCATTCTTGTGTGCCCGGCGGGCGCGGTCCGTGTAGAGGGCGGCTCCGGGGGTCTTGCACTCCGGTGGGGGGCGCCCGATGCTCACTCCGGGGGCCCGCCCGGGCGGCCTCTGGCGCGGCGGCTGCAGAGGCAGCGGTGAAGGCGGTGGCTCCCTCGAGGGCTGGGAACGGGCCCGAGCCCGGGGGCAAGCGCGTGGCCGACCCGGTCTCGGGGTGGCTGACGGCGGCAGAGGATGGAGAGAGGGCTGGGGCTGGCGGTTACCCCCTGGGCGGCCCCGCAGAGCCTGGAGAGGTTGTGCTCCCCCAACAGAATTCCCGGAGCGCTACCTAATCGCCGCCACCCTTTCGGCCTGGCCAGTCCGGTCCCGGGTGCTCAGTTCTTTACCCTCGCCCGCCCTCCCTCCCTCCCTCCAGCCCGTGCTGCGCGCTCCGCGCTCTGGGCCGCGCCGCCGCCGCCCCCAGCCCTTTATAGCAACAGCGGCCATCGCCGGCGTCGCTCATTGGCGGAGGCGCCCTAGCCCCGCCCCCTCGCGGCACCCGACGGCGCGGCAGGTGGAAGCGAGCGCACAGGCTCCACACCTCCAAAAGTGCATTCTGAGGCTAGGGTTGCTACACTGGGGCCCGCCTGCCCTCTCAGGCTCTGCCGTGGAACTAATTCCCCGAGTGAACTGTCGGCTGGGGTGACATAGCGGCTTTTCCTCTTCTGTCCAGACCCAAGATGCTGGAGAAGGAGTGGAGGTAGAGGTGATCCTATCTGCCGGAGGCTCTGTCCATGAGACTTGGGAGGGCACGGGGAACTAGAACTTCGATGGGAAGAGATCTGGGTCTCCAGACTTGGGTGCACCAGGTGTAGCCCTTCAAGACTCTGGGGGTGGGTAGTGGATGGCTGAAGTCCTAAACCGCCTGAAAGGATGCTTGTGGGTTGTTGGGAGTGGCTAGGTGTGGCCTCTAGGGTTCAAAAGGTGGGGACTGTGTCCCAGAGTGTATGGGAGTTCTACACTGCTCAGAATGGGAAAGGTGTTGTGTTCAAAATCGTACCTATTACTGTTGTCCTCCTGTAACCACAGGAAGCCCGAGGGACCTCTGGGATCCGGTATAACGTAGGGCGGGGCTTCCTGGGCTTGTGATTCTTTCCCCTGATTACAGAGCCACGATTCCTTTTTTGGTAGGGGCACCTGGCCACTAGCTAAGGCGGTCGTGCATGCTTGTCTACAGTAGCCAGCCGCAGACACACAGCTTCCCTGGGGCGTGGGCCTTCCTGGGCTTGTGATTTTTTCCCCTGATTATAGAGCCATGATTCCTTTTTGGTAGGGTCACCTGGCCCCTAGCTAAGGCGGCCGTGCGTGCTTGTCTACAGTAGCCAGCCGCAGACACACAGCTTCCCTGGGGCGTGGGCGCCGAGATTTGGCTTCAGCACCACAGACAGCAGTCCGACGACTGAGTCGTTAGCCAAGAACCCTCTAACCCGAGATCCGTGCCCTCTACCCTATCCTCGTTCTTAAACGCCCCATGCGCACGCACTCCACACTCCGTCCAAGAATACCATTAAACTCAGAGGAGAGCCCAATTTCACCAAACATGGACGACTCATGGGAGAACCAATAGCAGGAGGAAGCTTTAGAAATTGAGCCAATCAGAACGTGTGCAGCAGAGATCGCTGCCACACTGACGCCGGAGCATGCCAATCACAGTGGCCCCGCAATCGAGACAGTGGCGAGGTGGGCCCTCGGGTGGCCTGGCTTGGACCTATGGGGCAGACCTAGCTGCCAGCAGTGGGGACCAGTTGTCACCTGCTCCCTACTTCGGACTCCTCCTGGATTCCACGCTGCGCCAAGAGGGGGGCTACTCTTGGGCAAGCAGGCCCAGCTGCAGTTTCCATGGAAACTGCCAGCTCCGGCTGTGGGCCATACAAGGACGACGACGACGAAGGGGACTGTGCCTGGAGGGTGGGGTGGGTGGAGGGTGACCCCAGTGGCCATATGTTCACTGATTCTTCGTTCCTGACTGGGATAGCTCTCTCCAACCCTGCCCCCTCTAAAGTAGCAATGGCTAGTCCTGGCTTCGAGCTGTCCTCTGGAGCTGGGGAGGAACTGCTGAGGTCAATCTCCGAGTGGCGCCACAGGGGTCCCTTGGGCACGTGCCCGGGCTCCCGGTTGCTGTCCCCAGGGTCACGTGTGCCCACGCGACTTGCGCGCCCCCTGGCGGGCGCCTGGAGAAGCGCGGCGAAGGATTGTTCCTGAGGCGGGCCCAGTATCTTCCTCAGAAAAAGGGGGCCAAGGCAACCGCAGTGCCTCTGCCTATCCATACCTCCTCCTCTCCAAGGGGCAAGGTCGATCCCTTTCTACCCCTGCATCTTGGCACTGCCTGTTCCCTTAGCCTGGCGCTTGCCTTCTCCAGGGGCGGGTCCTTTTTGCCCTTCTGGTTTATGCTTACATGCCACCTCCTCAGAGACGCCCTCCCTAAAATTCTTGGCTGCATGGCTCTGGGTTCAAGCTGTAAATGGCATAGTTGGGAGTTTCGTGAGCCTCGTCTCTGCTTGTCCCCCAGCTCTGAGGGTGGGCACTGCAGCCACAGGAGAGTCTCATGAGGAATTAAGTCTGGGAAACAGGATGACTCTCCTGTCCTAACCGACCCCCACCCCCACCCCCCCAGAGCCCAGGCAGCTGAGGACAAAGAGAAAAGGGGATGGGGGAAGGGGAGTCAGCAACGGCTGAGGAGGGGTCATGTTGGAGGTCCTGGGTGTCAGTTCCCCCTCCCAAAATAGCCAGGCCTAGGGGAGGTGGTATCCCTTCTCACTCTTTAATCTCACTTCTCTCTGGACACAGTTCCAGCCGTGCCGCTCCAGGCGCCAGCTCCAGAGGTGCGAGGGGGTGGGGAAGGGGGACCTGCCCAGGTGGCCCAGCCTGGGGCGGGGCAGGGTGGGGCGGGGCGCCTCCTTCCGGCCCGCGGTCTCGAAGCCCCCCTACCCCACCCCGCCCCATAGGCCCGGGTGAGGTATCCAAAAGGACAAATAAATAGGAAGGGTCAGTGGTCGGGTGGCTCAGGTGGGTTTGTGGTCCGGGTGGCTTTTGAGCGTGTGGAACTTGACGCTGTCCAGCTTCTCGAAGCGCTTCCCGCAGCGCTCGCACGTGAAGTTGTACTGCACCTCCGCCGTGTGCTTCTTCATGTGCCAGTTGAGCGAGGCGCGCTGCCGGCACTGGTAGCCGCAGATCTCACACCTGCCAGCAGCAGGCAACACCCGGGCGGGTTAGGGTCCTGCTGCCTGGGGGCAGGGCCGCGGTGGGCTCAGGAGGGGGTGTGGGGCGGCCCGGGGCGGGGCTAGGCAGGGGAGGCACCCAAAAGGATTGGTGCCATCTCGGGTGGACACTTGCATAGCACTGGGCAGAGGTGGGGCGGAGCCAGCCGAGGGGCTAGCCCCTTCACGGTGTCCTCCCTCTGGGCCCATGGGTGCACTCACTGCAGAGGCGTCTCCCCTGTGTGCGTGCGTCGGTGGACTTCCAGGTGGTTCTTTCTCTTAAAGGACTTGCCGCAGGTCTCGCAGGTGAATTCCCGGACACCTGGGGGCGAGCAGATGCTGGGCTGAGGGCACTGCCATTTGGGGGCCACCAGGTATCTCGGGTGCGATGCAGAGGTGGGTGGCAGGCTCTAAGGGGCTGCTGGGAGCAGACACACCACACTGGACCTCCCAGGGCTAATGAGGACAGTGACAAGGACAGCAGCCACAGCACCAGAGGCTCCCTGGTCAGCCAGGACTCGGCTGGTCTCCGTGGGCGTCTGGAGGAGAAAGCTGGCTGCCTAGCAGTGCCGCCCACCAAGCAGGGGGCCTGACCTGAGTGGATGATCATGTGCCGCCGCAGGTGGTTGGACAAGTAGAACTTCTTGCCGCAGCCTGGATGGGGGCACACTTTGGTCTTTCCTTTCCGGTGTACAAGGTTGACGTGGTTCTGCGGGTGGAAGGGGCGGGCCAGGGCTGTGGGGCTCTCGAGAGTGGGGAGAAGTGATGGCAGCTGGGGGCAGGCTGGGATCAGCCCTGCCAGGGAGAAGGGAGAGTGGTGCTCTGCCTAGGGGCCCAACAGCACTTCCTGAGCATCTACTGTGTGAGTCAGGTGCGCCTGACCCAAGCCAGGGTATTTCCCATCGCCTCATCTACATGCATGTGAAAGTTGGACACTGAATAAGGAAGACCGAAAAAGAATCGGTGCGTTTGAATTGTGGTTGTGGAGGAAATACTGAAAGGACCATGAACGGTTCAAAGGACAAACCAATCTGTCTTGGAAGGACGGCCAAAACGCTCTGTGAGAGGTCAGGATGGCGAGGCACTGGCTCACGTACTTTGGACATGCTGTCAGGAGAGACCAGTCCCTGGAGAAGGGCAGCATGTTTGGCAGAGGAGCAGCGGGAAAGAGGGATGTGCTCGATTAGATGGACTGACGCGGTGCCTGGAGCAATGACTCAAGCTGAGCAACAACTGGGAGGGGCACAGGGCTGTGCAGTGCTTTGTTCTGTTGTGCATAAGGTCACTGTGGGCCAGCACTGATGTGATGGCACCTCACCACTGTGTGCCCAACTCTGGAGAGCCAGTGGGTCCTCCCTGGTCCCAGGAAGGGCCTGTTGGGGAAATCAAGGTTCAGAGGCGTAGTGGCTCCAGTAATGACTGCACTTTGTCACCGCAGAGGGGCCTGTTATTTGGGAGGGGCTTGGTTTAAGGAAAACGTGGCTCAGCACATTCACAGGCCTGGAGCTGCCTCTATGTGCGGTCTGGGGTGACAAGACCCCACATCTGTCCCTAGGGACTCCCCGTCCAGACCCTGGGGGCAGTTCTAACTGGGTAGTGCAGGGACCTGGTGGGGGGGGATGGGGACGGTGTGTGTCCCACCCTGTGTTGTCTGTGTGGTTACAAAACACAGGCTGCAGAAAGCAGCTCCCCTTGTCCCCAAAGTCACACTCCACACCTGACCAGTGCCCACAGTTGCCAAGCCCAGTGTCCTTGGGGACCTGCCTCACCTGGAAGCTGCTGAGGGCCACGTAGACCTGGCTGCAGCCCTCGTAGGGACAGTGGAACATCTCCAGCAGGCCGTCAGCGTCCGTCACTCTGGAGCGTTTGCTCCGCCGCCTCCTGGAGGGAGGGGGAAGGAGGCAGTCCAAGTGCGCATGCATCGGGGCTCCCACACCAGGGTTGCTGGGCGCCTGCTGGCTAGCCCTCCCCCTGCGTGGCCCGGGCACCCACTTCTCAGGCTCTTTGGGGATCTCATAGATGATAGTGGACATGTCGCTGCCATCAAGCTCCTCCCCATCAGCCTCTGCCTCTGGCTCCATGCTCTCGGGCACCACAGCCGACAGCTCGGCCAGCTCCGGGGCCACCGGTTCCTCCTTCTCCTCCTTCTTGAGCATGTACAGGTCCTCCTTCTCTACGGGGGTGGACAGAGGGCAGGGGTGGCTGTGGGGTAGGAGGCTGGCAGTGAGTCTGAACAGGACCCCTAGCCACCCCCCCCATCCTCACCCCCATAAGGGGTTTCGGGCCACCCTCCTCGGTATGGCCAGACCTTTCTTGGTCTCGATGACTGGCGTGGTGCTCGTGCCTGTGGTGTTGGGCTGGTCGCCCTCGGGCTCTGTCTGGGTATATGCCGCCACGCCCTCCATCATGGCGCAGGGCACTTCCTCGCCCAGGCCGCTGCCAGGGGCACCGCTGCCGGCCGCCACGTTGAGGTGAATGCCCTCAGCAGTGAGGGCATCGTAGCCTGGGCCCGCGATGATAATCACCTGTGAGCCGGGCACCATGCCTGGCACAGGGCAGCTGGCCACCACTTCGCCTAGTGCCTCCTGGGGCATATTCTCAAAGAGGGCGCCAGGGCCTGCACCCACTTGCACGGGCACTGGCACGCACACTACGGCCTCCAGGGCCTCGGGCCCGCTGCCAGCGGGGTTGGGGCACAGGGGCGTGCCCTGCTCGGCCAGGCTCTCCACGTGGTGGACGTCAAAGGGGATGTGCATGCCCTCCTGCGTGATGAGCCCGATGCTGCCCGCCGGGCTGCTGGGCGTCACTGTCACCGAGCTGGTGGCTGGCTGGCCCTCAGCGGGCTCCTCGGGGTCGGAATCGGAGCTGGAGGACGTGGAACTGCCAGCCGCCAGGCCGCTGCCTACTGTGGAGACAGGGGAGGGGCAGTTACAATGGCTGCACTGCGGCTGCAGCGGAGGGTGGCACTTGCTGAGATCACCAGGGACTGGGTGCTCTGACCCCCTCACTGCCAACACTAGCGGTCCCAGTCCCCATCCACCCTCTGGGACCCACTGGTATCTTGGTCCCTTCCCTTGGCACCTGCAGGTACACATGGTCCCTCAAGCCTGGCCTCTCCTCAGGGCTGGGACAGGCGGGGGGG